ATAAAGATACTATTTCCACCCGTGTGATTGTGCGTGACCTCTCCGGCAAGTACTGCTGGGACATGCACCAATTACATGGATTATTCAGTCATTCGCCCTTAACCGCCACGGATTGTTCAGAGCTTATCCAAGTGGACAAAAATCGAGGTACTGTTGGATCTATTGAACGAACAGCAGCTCAGGCAACAACCGCACATGCATCTTGGCAGGAAATGAACGAATCGACTGCCTCTGGGGCTTCTGATGCCTCCGGACTCCGTCCTTGTGTAGAGCTCCCATGTTTTCCAGTTGGCTCGACATTTCCGCCCATTTCTACAGGCCTCGAACCAGCTATTCCCATCGGGCAATATAAACGTAAACTAGATAGTGAGGTACCTGGTGCCTCGCTATATCCGACGGATTCCAGTGAAGCAGGTGAAGAGCCATCTTCCGGAGCGTTTATAACGCCTGGTGGTAATGGTGCGACCACTTGGCCCCGCAGAACTAATGAGCCACAGGATAAGTTAAACGCGGTAAGCTTTAGATCGAACATTTGCTTTCTTTCTTACTCTCCTTTTCTTTATCTCTTTATTAAGAATCTGATTTATTTTAGGTCGCCTAAAGTGCTTTAAGGACCGAAAGTTAAATTTACCATTTGTAAATGAATAGAAGGCTCCGGCTCGCAAAATGCTTTCTTATTTAGGGCCAACAACAGTCTTGATTGCGGTTATGTATTATGTGACTCTAACCTAGGGTCAAAACTGAGTTTTGCTCTTCAAGGGGAAAAGTTACTTCTTACAACCTGCGTGCCGGTATATCACAATACAGCTATGGCTTGCGAGGAAAGTAAGGTCTCCCTATCCACCTTTGCAGTAGAGCTCTTTTAAAATCTTGTCGAAGTGGCTAAGGCCAACCAGACGAAGTTCTGAAGGCCCTAGAAGCACACACAATGCCGCTTCACTGAGCAGAGCGCCTAAGCTCTGATTGCCATGCTTGCAGATATCAGGCCTTCTCTTCACGGATCCTCTCCTTGATTAAACCAATGTTATGTGAGCAAACTATGGACGCCTATTTCTAGTCTCATGCGGCATCTCAAGTGGATTTCTAGTGCATTTTGGGCATAACGACGAATTTTCGTGATGG